CCCCCCCCAAAACCCGCTCCCACCCCTCAGAGATGCCCCAGCACTCACCCTGACGTGGTAGGAGACCCCAGGACCCATGACCTTGTCATCCGGGTGCAGCCAGCCACGCGTGGGCTTATTGACAAAGCTGCCGTGGCGGGTCCATTCATCACCACCCAGCTGGCCGCCTTCCACCCGCGTCCTCTTGGCACAGCTCAGCTTGTTCATATCCTGGGAACAGACAGTGACAGGTCCTGCTGAGTCTGGGCCGGTTGTTCCCCCCGGTGCCGGTGTGAGCGTCCCGGTGAGGACGGGTTGCCCCGAGCTCCCGGCATCTTTGAGGCTGCCAGCCGATGAGCCCCGTAAGCTGAGCAGGTTGGCGGGGTTCGAGAGCTTCAGGTTGGCCATTTTGGGGAAGAAAGAGCAGAGGGTGGTGGGGCTGTCCTCCGACTCGGATGAGAGCTCCCCGAGAGGCAGCATGGGGCTGAGGGAGGAGGACGACAGGGAGCCAGGCAGAGACCGCGTGCCTGCCAGGGATTCCACCGGGGACGCCGGGGTCCCCAAGGCTCCCACTGCCTCCTCCAGGGAGGAGACAGACTCGTTCCTCAGGTGGCTGTATTTGCTCTTCTGCAGGAGATCCATCGCGGAGAGAGAGAGGCGAGAAGGGCTGGCGCATGCCCACCCCTCACTGCGACCCCACGGAGCGTCTGAGCGCCTACAGCCTCCTGGAATCCTCCCCCAGGCTCCGATTGAGGCCGAGCTCCGTGCCCGGTGCCCAGCAGCCCCGCATGGCTCACGAGGAGAAAACGCAGCAGGGGCTGCCCAGCTCCACGCCGTCAAAAGCCGATCGATAGCAACCAGCGTCAGCAATCCGGGCGGATGGAGAGCAACCCCCGCTCCGGGTGCAGAGGGGAGGAAGCGAGGCTGTGGTTACAGCCCGGGGCCGCACGGAGCGGCCGGTGAGGGGGCTCAGCACGCAGCTGGGAGGTCCTCAAGCCCCACTGCCCCACGCCGCTCCTGAACCGGACCCACGACGAATCCCATTGTCTTCAGCAGGGGCTCAGCACAGCCCCCCGTGCCCCACAGACGAGGTCCCGAAGCGCTGCCCCTCCGCCCCTGCCGGCTCGCTCTGGCCCCTGCGCTCGCAAGCGGTTGCCAGCAGCTCAGAGGAAATCAAAAGCATGAATATTTAAAGCCCTGAGACAAGGCAGCCACAGAGCACATCCGAGCCCAGCCCAGCCCTGCTCAGAGCACGGTCCAGGAGCAAACAAGGTCCTTCTGTGGCGGCCGGCGCTACGCGAGCCACGTGCCGGCGGCGGGCAGCTGCCGTTGGCTCTCCGGGATCGCCGGGGGGAAACGCGATGCCAGCAAGCCTCGGGATGCAGGGACGTCCAGCTCGGCTCCAGGCTGGCAGAGGAGGAGGAAGACAGCCGGGAGGAGGATACAGGTGGGCGCAGCGAGGGAGAAGCCGGGCTCAGCGCGGGGCTGCGGCACGGAGCCGCCGATGGCTGCCGCTTCCCGCACGCCGGCTCCTCCCGGAGGAGAGAAGGGGCTGCCGCTGATCGGAAGGGCTGTGCTGACTCACAGGCGGAGGAGCCGGCTGTGCTCTGCTCCGCGGGGATGGGGAGGCAGCGCAGGAGGGGCTCGTAAGGAGGGGTGGGGACCCAGCGAGGATCTGGAGCAGAAAAATCAAGGTCACAGGCGGAGCTAGCGGGAGCTGGGGAAAAGCCAGAGCGTGCGGCTGGCGCCAGGGCAAATCTGCCCCATTTCCAGAGCTGGGCAAAAGCCCCGTTTTGTGGTGGGGGGGCACCGGGGCAAATCTGCCCTCTGCCCCTTCTTCCCCACCTGACGCAAACCGGCACGCCAATGGGGGAGCTCAGAAATCTCCCTCCAGCCTCTCGGCGTTGGAATAAGACGGTCTTTAAAGCCCCTTCCAACCCAAGCTGTTTCATGATTCTCCTCTTCTCCCCCTCCTTCCCTCCCCCCCGGGGTCTCCGGGTCCCTCTGACCCACGCCAGGCGCCCTCTGTGTGGGCCAGGGCACTCCTCCACCGAGCTGAAACCAGAGAAATCCAGCCCAAGGGAAGCGCTCACCCCGCTCAGCCCCAGCACAGGAGCGAAACCTGCCGTCCTGCTTCCCAACCGTCGGCACGCAGCCCCAGAGACAGGGAAACGGAGGCAGGGAACAGCCTGGAATAGCTGGGATCCCACACGGTGCGGGGCTCCGATGCCAGCGGGTCCCACAGCCTGCCAGCCCCCACCTCGGTGCCGCAGGAGCCGTCCCACGAAGCGCTCCGTCCCCCCCGGGGGCCCCGCGGCCGCTCAGTGCCATGACCTTCCCATGGCCTGCAGCAAGATGGCTCCGAAGAAAGGCAGGAAACCCGGGGCCGGGGAGCCAGGAAGCAGGGACCCGCCAGCCCTGCTCTGCTGGGCGGCGTCAGGGAGGCTCAAGGCAGCGGGGTTTGCCCCCAGGGACCCGACTGGCTTGCGGATGTGGGGCTGGGGGTCCCACCTGGCACAGTACCCACTGCAGAAAGGCTGCAGGCGTCTGCAAACAGAGGCTGGCTGCTGCTTGAGGAGAGCTGGAAAAGGGGCAAAGGGTCTTTTTGACCCAGCCCAGACAGGCAGCAGGGCAGGGAGCAGCAATTCCCGGCACACGCAGCGCCCCAAGCTGTGCCAGCTTCTCACAGATCTCCATTTCTACCATACAGAAGAACTCTTGATTTTATCAGAACCTCCGGCATCGAGGCCGAGGCCAGACAGCGCACTCACATCCCCACCAGCATCGGCAGCTCACCGCTCCCAGACCCAACTGCCACAGCCCCAAAGCCCACCTCAGGAATCACAGCCTCCTGCCCAGGGGCCACAGAGCACCGAAGGCAAACCGAGACGTGCGCAGCCCCACGGAATCGGGTCCTGCAGCCCCCGAGCAGCACCCAGCAGCCTTTCCTCTCGCCAGACCGGCTGGCAAAACGCTCCCAGCCCTGCAGCAGAGCGGCTCCTCACGACTGGAAGCCGGGGCTCGGCCAGATCCTGCTATGTGCAGGACAGGGGGACACTGCGTGCTTCCAGGTGACCTCGTGCACAGCCCAGGGGATGAGGAGCGGAGTGGGGATGCAGCACAGCAAATTGAAAGCTGTGCCCAGCGCTCTGCTTTGGAGGATCCTGCGTTTCCCCGGGCTCTGCTCGCAGCCCTGCCGTCCTCCCAGGAAACACAAAGCAGGAGCTGAGTCAGAGAGCTGGAACACACGAGCGGTTTGGCAAGAAGTCACGGCGAGGCGCAGGCAGGCACAGGGGCTGCCACACGTACGCAGCTTGTCGGCACACGGAGGGCAGGAGACCCCCGAATCCCAACACGGGCAGACGGAGCCCTTGCCGTGCCCTGTCCTCCTGCAGCACGGCGGGGAGAGCAAAGAGAAAGGCCGAGAGCCAGCCACGAGCTGGATTTTCCCCTAAACACCACTACAACGTCACACGGCGTCTGTGTGCAACCTCTCTGAACTTCCCAGCAGCCTTGTTGGAATAGGGGAGGCCTGGAATTGAGGCTGGGCCCCGGTGGTGAAGGGGGAAGGGAGGCAGGATCCGCCACCGAAGCCACCTAGCCCTTCCACCGAAGTCCCGAGCGCTGGCCGGCCTTACCACGTACTCCATCGCCGGCGGAGGGCAGGGAACAAACATTCAGCCCCTCTGGTCTGGCAGCCCGACCTGCGGTTCAGGGACAAACAGCGAGTTAGCCAGCCCTGCTGCAGGCAGAGCTGCTTCTCACTGACCGCAGGCAGATGGGGGGGCAGAGAGAGACCCGGGGAAACCTCCTCCTCGACGGCCCTGTCATGGGAAGGATGGTGCCGGGATGCTCTGGGAGCACGGGGACAAGATGGGGGGGACGAGGTTGGCTCTGCTCACATCTTGCCTGCAGGCAAATGGTGTCGGCAGCCAACTGTTGGCAGTGCCCCCGAAGCAAAAGGACCTCGTTTACGGTCACTCTGTGACCTCAAATAAACGCTCTGCCCTGTAGCTGTCAGGACCCAAAAATAGAGGGCACAAAAGGAGAGGGAGAAGAAGTGCTGAGACATGGAGGAGTGCCCCATTCCTGCCCACACCGCCCCCCAGGCTGGCACCTACTGCAAAAGGACGCACAAAGTCCCCAGGGAGGAGCCAGGATGTGGCCATAGGAGCGTGTGAAACGGATCCTGGTGTTAGGAAGGAACGGTGGAAAGGGGCCACGGAAGGGCAGACGTGAGCAGAGCCAGGAGGGGCAGGAAGCTCTGGGAGAAGGGCAGCGGTGAAAGGAAAACACAGCGAGCAAAGCAGGAGCACAATGAGCGCCCCTGCCCTCCCCAGCCAGCCCTGCGCCGCTCCCACCCTCACCACGGAGCCGTTTGGGGCCGGGCCAGCCAAGCAGAACAGGACAACAAACACGATTTACTTCCTTGCAGCAATCATACGTCCTTATCTGGGGCCTGCAAAGCCAGCGCCGGAGCCCAGGCGGGCGCTAATGGGATTAGCCCGGGGGGCAGTGAGATAAGAGGGGCCGTTTGGCCGCCGCAGCCCCGTCCTGGGCAGGGCCAGGCAGGCAGCAATTGCAGATCACTCACTGCAGAGGAAGCGCAGAAATGACGAGGCCCTTTGGACTCTGGGGCCGAGGTTAGAGGCAGGGAAAGGAGAACAGCACTGTGCCAAAAGCCAGCAGGAGGAGAAAGGGCTGGGTTTGAACGGCGACGGTGTACGGCCATAAAACAGCCAGGCTGGAGAGGCACAGGGCAGCACAGGGCCTCACGGTGAGGCTGCAGCGTCAGCAGGGCCACAACCTGACCTCAGCACGGCCTCCTCAGCACCCCTGACGCCCAAGGGTGCTGCTTTGGGCTCTCCCCATCCTCCAGAAGCCCGTGGCGGGGTTGCAGAGCCACTCGTTCCTCGATCTTTGTTGTGGCAGTGCCTCAGCTGAACCGTGCAGAGCTCCAGAGCGGGCAAAGCACTGAGAAATCTGCCCTTTGCACAGCTTTAATCCTACAGGAAGGAGCGGGGCCACGTTTCCTCAGCCCGTGAGGGACACCCAGTGACCTGGAGATCTGGGAACGGCCCAGGCCGGATGGACACACGGACACAGCAATGCTGCTGTGTGAGGACAATGGTCTGGAATGGGGCACTTCCACCTCAGCCAGCTCTGTCCCGGTTACCTGTCCCTTCAAAGGAGGTTGCACACGAGCACGGCCGGTGCTCTGCCCCAATCGGGGTCGGTCCGTCCCCATTCTGAGCTCCCCGGTTGCTGTCAGCTCCGGGAACCGGCAACGGTGACACACCGACAGACAGACCTCACACACACCCCCACCATGGCACCGGGAGCTCCGGGACCTCCGAGCAGCACGGAGGCGATCAGCGATTCCCCCACAACCACCGGCAGCGCCCGGCCCCGGTAACACCGGGAACGGGCAGCCCGACGCCACCGCTTCCCCGCTCGGTGACTCCCATCACCCCACCATGCGTGGGGACGAGCGGGTCGGGTTCAGCCCAGCAGCCCCGGAAGCTCCGCAGCAGCTCAAAGCCCGGCCCACCCCGCCGAGCCCGGGGCCTACGGAACCACCGGCAGCCCCTCAAGGCCCGGGCCGCTCCCGCAGGCCGTGCAGGCCGCACCGCAGCACCGCACGAGGCCCAACCCATCCTAGGACGACCCGCACGCTCACCGGGGCACCATGGGTCTACGCGCCGGTCTCCTCCGGTCCCGGCGGCCGCAGCGCCCCGCACCGAGCGCCCTCCCCCCGCCACGCCGCCACTCACTTCCGGCCCACGCCCCTCCACCGCGGCCTCACCGCGCCCCCGTCACGTGACGCGCGAACCGGCGGGCCACCGGAAGGCGGCGCCCGAGCCTGAGCGGAAGGGGCGTATCCGCTCGACCGTCGACCAATCAGCTTCCGAATCGCTCGTCCCGCCTTTGCGGAGCGGACCAATGAGCGCGCGGGGCGGCGGTGTTTGAAAGCACCGTTGGGGGGAGGGGGAAAAACCAACGGCCGCCGGGAGCTGAGGAGAGGGGCGCGGCGGGGGCTGCCGGGAAAGGGGCGGACCGCGGGCAGCATGGCGCACAAGCAGATCTACTACTCCGACAAGTATGACGACGAAGAGTTCGAGTACCGGTGAGGAGAAGCGGGGGAGGAGCGGTAACCGTTGTCTGATGGGGGGGGGG